GTAGGAACAGAGCAGCAGTGGAGCATAGCAATATGGTGAAGGAGGGTAAAGATAGGGTACAAGCTGAGCATAAAGGGAAGGAACCTAGACAAAGGGAGGTGAGAAAGGAACGAAGGGGTGACAACATTGTGGATGCATTGAGCGGGACTCGAGCATATCAGAGGAAAGGAAGAACAGTTGTAGGGCAGCGACTAAGGCGGTAAAGATATTCTATTACAGAAAATAATACGTCACAACGTAGGAGATTGAGAGGGTCTCCTCGTGAAATTATTCCTCCAAAGTTCATCGTTTTGTGGTAAAAATCTGCAAAGTCATTATTTTCTTGGAGAATATAATGAGAAAAGCAAAATTCACAAAAGTTTTGGTTTCTCAAACTCACGCTTCCGGTTACCAAACATCTAGCAGTTCGTATGGGATCATTCATCCGAACACTGAATTTATCTTTTTATGCCCAGGATGATAAAATATGAAAGATCGAACCTTTGAGTAGGAACCGACGCCATATATCTTCCCCAGCTCGAAATCATTGATGGTGAACTGCTCCTGCGGCGCCCTGAAGACAATGCTGTTGGTCCTCTGCACCGCCGGGCGGGCATGACCCCCATCCCCGGTCGTCTCCGGCTGCTGCAGCCGGAGCTTCGCCTCGAAGTCCCTCTCCATCTCCTCCCCACCGCCACCACCGACAGCCATCATCCGCCCCAACCGAGGCACCAACCGATCTGCAACCCTTCCTATCTGGGTGGCCTCCGAGGACGGGAGGTGGTCAACGAGGACCCACGAACTATCGGATTTCCCGCCTCCCCTCTCCCTCTAAACTCCCCCTCAGATAAAAAAGGGGGAAGACGCGAGGGATTTCGCCTGCCACCGCCGCAGCCTTATATCGAAGCCCTGAAGAGAAGATTACAAGCTGCAAAACGCAGCATTTGGTCGGGCCGCGGTTCGGCTAAAAGCGGAGATTTCGGAGACGGGAGATGGGAAAGGGCGCAGGGGAGGAGATCGCACATGTGCTTCTTTCTCTCTATTTCCTTATCCTTTTCCTTTTCTTGGGTCCCAACAAAGCGGCATAAAATGTACGATTGAGAGGCGCTATATAACGAACCCTCTTTTATTTGACGAAGCGCTCCCAATTTGTTATCTAAGATATAAATTCTATTATTCCAAGCAGATTAATATTTATTTCTTATTTTTGGCACCATTACTTGACCCAATATTGGGAAATTGAGAATTAGTCAGCACAATGTTTGACCCAAGAAAGTTGACTCAAATGATTAGGCCCACTTGAAGCCCATGTTTAATGGGCCGGATTGATCCGAAATCAGGCCCGGTTTAGAAACCGCATATATGATCGGGTGAACCCGGCCGTCGGTTCCCATTCATCGTGATCGCGGTTTGTAGGTTACTCTGTGATCGAAGGCGGCGCCGGCGAGAACTTGGAAGGGGAGAGACTAGGAGGATGGGGAAGACGCCGGTGCGGATGAAGGCGGTGGTGTACGCTCTATCGCCGTTCCAACAGAAGGTGATGCCCGGGCTCTGGAAGGATCTCCCTGGAAAGATCCACCACAAGGTCTCCGAGAACTGGCTCAGCGCCACGCTCCTCCTCGCCCCGATCATCGGAACCTACAGGTGCGCCTCTCTGTTTCTCTGTTTCCCCCATCTTTTCCTTGGTTCCTTGTTATGAAGGGCGCAAATTTCATCTTTGCCTTGCAATTGATTGAATCGAAAGGCATCAGATTAGGCGTTGGTTTCTTTCCTTTTCGGAAAAGATTGTCAGATTTGGAGACGCTTTCAAGTTGTAGCATCTGATCTGCTTTTTCAGATTGCATCTGTGCTCTCTCTCTCTCGGTGATTTTTGCCTTACTGTTGAAGCATATCGTCTATAAATGTGATCTGCAATTGAAATCTTTTGCGTATATTCGGTTCTTGTATTCATCTTCTGCTTCTTTTATGGCTTTGCTGTCAAATTTGTGATTTAGTGCTGAGGTTTACCCGGAAGAACCGAATCGGAGAGCTCTGAGTCTTCAGGCTTACTAGCCTATGTCTAATTGTTAGATGTGTTAGTATGTCGAGAAAAGAATATAAAAGGTCTTGTATTTCTTTGCAGAATCTTTATTGATTTGCTGTTTCGTCTCATTGTCAGGCGATCTGAAGTGGTTTTTGGTCCTAGTGTTTTATGAAGGTCATTCTCTTCATTATTGGAACAGTTCTTTTAGGCTCTTTTGAAAATGACTAGCATTTTCATTCCACAAAGATTAGTTGTTGTCATAGATGATCACCTGGGCACCTGGGTGATCACTTGGTCATCAGGATCGTGTAAGTGTACTTATGTTGATGTTTATATACATTTATTTATCTTTCAACATATGTTACAGATTTGTTTATGTATTGCCCGTGTTAAAATAATAATGATGTATATGATACCTAGTGCTATATATTATTATTAATTTAATTGTTTTTACAAGCTACAAATTTTTCTTCCAAAATTTTTTAAAGCATCGACATGTAACTATACGAGCTTTACATGTAATTGTTAATCTTTCAAAACATATCATTTACAACTTACACATGTTAGCTAACTCAAAAATTGATGAGGTAATTTAGTACTCAATGGGCTATACATTTGTATGACTACTATGGCAGCTCATTGTACCCGGTTGTCTGAATCAAATCTGATATAAATTTCAGTCTCTCCATGAAAAGTATGGTTTTAAGCTGAGATATTGATTTAGGTGGGACCACCATACTCTGTACAATCTTGCTTTTTTTATATAGTTTTTTATTTGCTTAAGGACACTATTTCTCATCTCTGTGAATTTTTTTTTTTGGTTGTAAAATGGCTCATCTCTTTGATATTCAAAAGGGTGGAGGAAAAAGTTGAATAGCTGGATACCAAAATACCAGCTTGCTAGGAGCAGCATATGCATGAAATGGCTTAAGTACTGAAAAGCCTGTTGGTTAAACACCATTAAGAGTAGGATGCAAATTTGATGTAAACAAAGGGCCCCATTAATTTGTGGAGGTACCAATCTTGAGCTTGCAATAGCAGGTTTTCATCATAATATATTTCTGTAGTGAACTTTCATCATAATATCCTGTTCTTTTGTGTACTGTCATCGTAATGTCTTGGTTCCCTGCATTGTTGGAACTTTAGTATTCATGATTAAACAACATGGTGAGAAAGAGAGTGAAAAGTGTGCAGAGGTAGAAGCAGAAAAGGGAAGAAATAGGTTAGAATTAGCAAAAGGATATAACCATGACAGCTGGCCAACACCGAGGAGGAAACACTGCAGTTTATCAACACCGCTTAAAGTTGCCTTGGCTAGCAATATGGTACTGAGCCTCCGGGGATAAATTTGTTGAATGGCCTGCTGATAAATATCTTTCATCATAATATCTTTTGTTCAATGGCATGTTGATAAATTTGGTCTTATTTCTTTAGAGCCTTCTCAAATAAGAGTTTGCTTCAATTGCTAACCTCACTATGGAGGTGCCACTGTGAGCTTTCATCATAATATCTTTTGTCGGATGGCCTGTTGATAAATTTGGTTTTATTTCTTTAGTCTTCTCAAGTAAGAGTTTGCTTCAATTACCAATGCTTACTAAATTGGATAAGACAACCTTTCCATTTGTTATCTTTCTGAAATGAGAGATTAAGCTAAGAACATGATATTGTTGCATATCATAACATTTTAAAATGTAGACTTGTGTTATGTGTTTATGAGTCCTCTTTGTATTGTTTAAATGCTTATGTGGATCTTTTATATGTTGATGCAGTTATGCCCAGTACTATATGGAGAAGGAGAAGTTGGAACACAGGTACTAAGGATGATATGGCTTTTGGTGAATTCAATCCACTCAGAAAGGTGTTTTGAGAGTTATTTTGCAGTCCCTTGAATTGTAAACTTCAAAACAGAAAATTACTGTAATGTCAGAGGATTGATCTGCTTCGCTTGCAAATAATCTGAGAATCTGAACTCGGTTTATTAGTCTCTTGTTACAGTTTCCGGAATAAAGTTGATGTTTCACAATATACAGTTTTTTTTTTTTGTTATACTAAGCTGATAGAAATGTTGGATAGCTTATTCGCGTCAGTGGCCATCCATCTCTCTGATGTCCCTGCTTACCAGATGTGGAACAGTTTGATATAAGCTTAAGAGCCCATCCTTTGTGATCTTTTTGTGTTGGTCCTTTTTATGACAAAGTCCCATGTATGCTAGTGCTATGTACATGTTGCCAGCTGACTTCTGCTGCTGATCTTGGGTGTTTTATGAATTCTTTGCAAAGGACTTGCTCATAACATAGTTCATCTCTTGGAGACTGTTATGTTACAAGAATGCAGTTGTTTTCCTTGAATGGAAAAAAAGGAAAAAGAAAGAACATGTAGATACTGGTTTATTATTTACCAGAAATTTAGTGAACAGTGACAACAGTCTGAAACTGTGGTTTGAGAACCCTATTGCAGTTATGAATATTCTAGGTCATTTAAGTGAGCATCTTAACTAGAATTTATGAGATTTGGGGAAAATAGAAGTGATTATTGCAACTGTGATAGGTGAATTAGAAAATCCCAGTCAATTGATATGTTAAATGTGTGTGATGTTCAATTGATCTGTTTAGTTGTAAGCATCACTGGATGTGGCTTGCAGCTACATAGTTTTACCATTTAATTACAACCATTTGTCTGTCACTGTGCTTAACTATCCATTTATATGTCACATTATTTGAATCATGTTCTATATCTGCTTAATAACTTGAGAGAATATCAACCATGATATAGATAGTTCTGGCATTTAATACTGCATTATCTTTTTGTATGGAACCTTATCTAGAACTGCTTGATTGAACTGCTTAATAATTTCATTTATTGTCTTTACTACTCATGGCATATGGAGAATCAGACCTTAAAAAAATGGAGAAACCCTAGCTTTGTTGGTCAGGACGAAAACAATTCTACTGTAAATGTTTCCATAATGAGTTACTAAAACAGCCCTTCATGACCAGTGTAGAACGCAGAAACATTGAACTTTTATTATCAGAAATATCATCTGGAAGCTTAACATATTAATCACACCAATTCAACTTTTTCGCCAGCGATGGATCAACCAACTAGTATGATACAAAGTCACCCGCATTGCCGTCTCCATCTCTCTGCACAACGCCTTAGCATGCAAGGTTCCATATGAACTCCGTCTTAACGATAATTCACTGCACAAGATGTGTTAACAGCACAGGTGCATGGATAAGAATGGCCTCCTCAATCCGCAGATCATGGTGCTTCATAGTTTTCTGATATTGTCCACTCGATCAATCACGTCCAATGCTTTTATCTTGTCAATGTCAAAGTCGATGACAGGAAGCATCGACTGCCTTCTCACCGCGAAGAGATCTTTCGTACTAGAACTGGTTGGTGAATGACTGTTGCTCTTGCTCAGCCTGTAGCGCTTGCTTGTTTTCCTCTTTGCCGTGTCGAATTCCTGACTTTTGCTGATCCCGGGGGTCAATTTTCTGAATATCACATACCGCAGCATTTCTTCATCTTCTTGGGTGAGCACGGGCGATGGAGCATTTGGTTTAATAGGGGTTGATGTTACGATCAAGCTGTTCTGTGTGGGTGAATGAACTGGAGATTTCATCGGAGATCTGATTCCTCCAGTGTTGGATTTTGAGTGACAGACAAGATGGTGAAGCCACACGAGTAATTCAAGTATGTAAGCTTCGGTCTTCTCTTTGTCTGCATGGTAGAGTGTCTCTAACCGGATCAATTCTACCTGCCCAGCAGGCTTTTGATTTACTTCGGACCTGAAAATAAGGAAAGCAATTTGCTAGGCTTCCAATACTGAGGAAACAGAGATCTTATACAAGAATGGAAAATGCCGTGGGCTAATAAAAGAAACGAGGATCGAAGTATCAAGACTCTGATTGCTTACCCGATGTTTGCCCACTCTCCAACCCAACCAAAACCATGGTGAGCCCTAAATAAGTTTCAGCAACAAACAGAAATATAAACATATATCACTTGATAAGTTTAGAAGTTCAAAGGACGAATTGCAGGGATAACTAAATTACTTGGTCGTGTTATTGGCTATTGGAACAAGCCACCGCAGGGTTTTTTCCATCTCTGCTTTAATTTGAGGAATAGTAAGCTGCAAACTTAATGGAAAAAAAGGTTAGAAAGCAACCAAAAGTAGAATTTGTTATAATATTAAGTGTAGCAAGGATGACAGGTTTTAGTTATTGCATACCTCCTCCTTGATTTGAAATGATTGCAACCTAGAACGGATTGCATTTTTAATTGTTGGAGGCAAACCTTGGTACAATGAGTCCCTTGTATTTTGAGGTACAGAGCTTGACCGTGAGACCTATATATAACTAATGATTAGTAGATAAAAAGGTTTAAAAACATATCATCAAACAGATATACATGACTGGCAGATATGCATCAAGAGCAGTGGTGCATGGTTAATCATATTTATGGCTGCCAAAGTACCATCTGTGAAGGTCATGATGTGGATCTTGAGCAAGAATAAACGGTACCTTGTCAATCAAATTGTAAGTGAGATCATGTTGGTAGACTACCATAAAAGTTTACATGGTTCAACAATTGAATTAAAGAATTAGGAGCTTTATGTTTTGAGCAAAGTTTTATAAAAGCTATACTAAAAATGTACTGCCATCTGACAACGCAAAATTGTTCTTTGTCTCTGACTCAACTTAATTCTTTGTAGTTGATCTAAGAAACTCACATCAACATAGGACATGCTGATCATGAAGCTCCATGAAAATACTCTGAAGTTATAATTGGGGCAGAAAATAGCATTTTCTGTACATGTTGTGTGAAGCTCTGCACACACTAATAGAGGTGAACCAGGAATGACTTACCGTAACACAGAAACTTACCACCATCAAACTTATGTATCTACATTCTGGTTGAAACATTTCATTCTGACATTCGTCGATGTGCAAAACTAAGGGCATTGAGTGGATTAACATGTAACTTCAAACATAATGGACTGGACCAGGATTCTTTTAGACCAAACCATCCAGTTCAGTACAAATTTTACTTAGAATGGGTTAGAGTTAGTCCCGCTTGATTATAGGCTTTAAGTATGATTCGCTTTACCGGTCCGTACCGATGTACCGACCGGTTGTCGGTATGGTATGTACCGACGTACCAACACAGTCCGGTGGGGCATACCGACAGACTGGTATGTACCACTCATACTGGTCTCCTATCATATCGGTGCATACCTCCTATACCGGGCGGTACATCGTGGTATGACGAACCTGGCTTTAAGAAGCTGCAGCTGTTTGCATCTGAAGCAAGAACTGTTGACCCAACACAACAGATCCTTGAGGGCTAGAAGGAGTAGAGGAGGGATGGTCAAAGGTAAAAAAAAAAGAAAAGAGGAATGCTGCACTTTAACTCTATATTTTGCGGAATAGTTGAGATTTTTCTTTCTTTTCTTGCTTCTCAGAGTACCAGCACAACACTAAAGGTTGATTGTTGACATGGCATGGCATGGTGGCATGTGCCATCTCAATGGCTGGCCAGCATGGATGGTGCTGGTGAAACATACAACCTTGACCAGAAAGTAACTGCATTAAATTTAAGATATGCTGGTTTACATGGGCTACAACTCTAGACAGAAAAACAACTAACCTTCTCTCTCAAAAGACCTTAAAAGGGAAAATGTTTTTGATGTAACAAAGAATGTCAAGAGGTATCAAATAAAAAAAAACTCATATACTAGAAAAATATTTTGTGAAATGGAAGCAAGTTGAAGCCAATGACTCACAAGAGTGTCAATCTGAGTTATGATATTTGCATAATGCAGCGCAAGGCCAGCAGGTCCCAGTCTTCTCTGGCTCTTCATAGTTTCCTCTTCTGTTTTGTCAGTATCTACAGTTCGATAAATTGCAAATTTTGTTTAGCAAGCAATTTGAATGTGTACATAATAATAAACCTCACACGAGCTAGAAGATCAAGTTTAGGTGAATTCTTTTTGAATCTCACACGTAGTCACAAAACAAACCCCTTTATTTATGTTACTTCACATAGTAACAAAAATTGGAAAGAATTGTTCAATGAGACTAATTCCAACAAACATGATATTTAAAGCATGATACATGAGAGATTTGACAAAATTAAAGGATTCTGATAACACCTGTTTATTTGCAAAAGCAATATAAGTTACATTGAGGATAGGTATGACAAATACCACAAGACAATTTCTTTTATTGGTAAATAATTACCTTTGATCAATGGACTGTCGTACTGCCTAATATGTTCCAAAATGGATGATATGTACCAGTTTGAGAGATAGCTGAGATGCGGACCAACCCATTTTGGATGGTACACAGGAAACATGAGGCATACGAACAAGTATGCCTCACGTATCAAAAGTTACCAACCGGTACCAGTACTGGTCGAATTTCGACGGCACATACATCATGGTGCTAGGACATGAGAATTATGGGGATGATTAGTGTATCTTGAAATGCAAAGGTCAACTCTGTAGAAGGCTTAAAATAGAACTTGAAATATCAAAATAAATATTTATTATTTTATTATAGTGAATTCAACAACAAGATGCAGTTCAGAAAACAAGGCTCCTGACACTTTAGATATGCAATCTTACCAATGCATTGTTTAGAGGCAGCAACTGTAAAGAACTTAAAGCTCATTTTGCAGTCTGCTTACAGTGATTATGGTTGGGAAAAATGCTTGTTTTGAGATTTGGGAAATTGTCAGGCTAACACCTTAAAAATATCAAAGAAGAAAACCTGGTGCCACCATCAACACCAAAACAATACTCCTGCTACCACTGGTAGCCAATAACCTACAGGGTAGAGAACAAGTCTGCTCCCCCTATTTTCTAACCCATAATGGATGGTCCTCTTCTTTTATTGTGTTCATTTGGTTATAGCCATTTTTCATATATCATTATAAGGTCAGTGCACTACCCATACCATGTGTTGGCAGTATGATGCAAGTAGCATACTGATCCGAGCAGCAACCGATACTTGTTGCTAGTTAAGATTTGAACCCTTGCTTCTTCTTTCATGGGGTTCATGCCTAGAAACTAATTTTCAAAGGTATTCAGCAAATTACAATTTTTTTATTTAAGTATGATATCGTCAAAAACAGATACCATCATCAGGTGGAAAAGAATAAAAAAGGAACAGGGGCAAGATATAATGAAGAGTGAGTGATCCCAACAAAATAAAGCATATATAAACAAATATAAGTGAACCCAACATAATAAAGCATATTAAGCGTAACAGTTATCAGAGATAAGTACTGAATAATCTGATTAATTTCATAAGAAGATATGCACAAATACCTCACAAGCATGTTAATAATGTTAAAGCAAGTGAAGAAAAATATAAAACTAAACAGATACAAGATTAGGTTAAGTACCAGTGCTTCCAAAGATATAATAAATCTCCAAGTGTAAGAAATGGACAATGTCTACAAGCTTTTCCAGTGCCTACAACAGAACAATGTCAAATTTTTCTTCCAAAAAAAAGAAACTTATGACTTGTATGGCTAACATCTGAACTTTTGTTCTTTTGATACCACCATAGAGCACACATAGGTCACAAAGAAAAATCATGAGTCAGCAGTCTATATTGAGACAAAACGGACATTTGGTAGAGGTGCCATTTTGGTCAGATAAAATGGTATATAACTTGGCAAATATATTACCTGCTGACAATTATATAGAACGATCTTGAAGCAACATGTGTGCCTACCTCTTCCAAATTCTTGGACCAGAGTGATCTCTTCTTCAAGGATTTTACATGCTTTCTTTGGCTCTTCAATTCTTGCCTTAGGATTTGGAGATTATCACCTACATATCGATTAAAAACTTACATCTAAGATGGTGGTTATCAACATGTTGCCAATTGAATTTTGGTTTCACAAAAATTACCACAACATAAGACAGGAAACAGCTTTTCATTTAACATGAGGGTTTCTCTGGTAAATATCATCATGAATGCAAGTGAATGAATAAAATTAATGATATGAAAACATGCCAATGAATAAAATAAATGATATAAAGAAGAATGATCAGAAAACCATGTTACTTCAGCTATTTTGTGTACTTGATGTCAGATGGTGTCAAAACATATTCAATCACTCATCCTCATATTGTATTTATCAACCTACATGGTGCTCACTAAGCGCACTCTCACTAATGTACCCTCCTATTAATGATGCATTAAAGAAATATTTGAATGCACTCTCCTATACAAGTCTTTATATCACATGTCCACCAAAATTGATAAAAAAAAAACTCAACTAATTTATATCCCAAATATTCAAGTGACGTTAATGTTTTCAAATAGCATGTTTACCATATCTTAGCTACTGCCATAGCTGGAGTTTTGACTCCACTGGAGCAGAGCCACAACTTTAATTGTGACATTTATAGTAATGTTAAAAATCTTGTGAATCTTATCTGTGCATGGTATATCAAGTGACACTGTGAGATTATAATCAGAAGCAGTGGTAGTGTCTGGATATAATCTTTGGCTGGTGCAGAAGACAGCATATCAGAGAAAACAAGTGGTGTCAGAGTATAAAAGAGTAACTAACCTCTTTGAAATCCTGTTGCACTATCCTCTTCTTGATGCTTTCTCCTATAATCTTGCTCAAATCTATCCAAGGTGTGCAACTCGTGGTATAATTCCTATGAGAACAAAAATGAAATCAGCAAGAAATTTTCAAAAAGTAAGCCAAAGCCTTATAGGGAAATCAACTATGGAGCCTGACTTCCTCATGGTGTTAACTGTCATGTTAAGTAAAACCCCTGAGTTCTCAGACCATCTAATTCCAGTTAATACAGAAGTATACTAAAAAACGACACCATTGCAAGCATGTCCACAGGGATTAAAGCATTACAAGCATATACAATATCTCCTTGACAGATGCAGGATAGTTGGCATAGCTAATTGTATGTGATATAACAAATAACAACTACCACATTATGCTAATAGGAAGAAAATGGGAACACTTTGCAACAATCAATCCACTAGTGAAGAAATATACTCACAGCTGTATTCTGAGCCAAACTCATGAGTTGCTCCATCACTGTTTCTGCTACTTCTTTCAGCTGATTTTGAGGTGGAAGTTCTGATGCTAGTCTAGTATTAACAAACATATAATTTAAGAATTCTATAGATAACAGAATTTATTTGGGTAATTATATAAAATACATATTGAACTTTTACTTGTCAAAATAGCGTTCCAAATTGTGCCATTGAGGATCTTTGCAACGATTTCCAAAGCGGACAACCTCTTTTGAAAATACTTTCAACTCTTCCCTGTTCAAATGACATAAAAAAATGACATGCTTTTTCTATAAAAAAAGTTATTGGCATTCAATTGACCAAGGCTATCATATCTATATATATATTTGTGTGTGTGTGTATGTGTGTGCAAGGAGAAAATCTCAGAAACTATTGAAGTTATATAATTTTATTTATCAAGTGGCCGAATAAATGAACGACGAAGCTACAAGGAATGAACCTTTTGTCAGCAGCAGCGATCCTTAGCAACTCATCTATGTCTTTGGATATTAGGTGTTGTACACCTTCTGATGGAAGAACCACTTCCTTTAAATGCTTTATGTTCTCCTTTGAAAGTGATTGCATAAGATTGAACCCTTTAACTATTGTGTTGGCAACTTCAAAAGATAAAATCGATATTTTATTTCCTTTTGTTGACCCTCCGGATACAAAAGCACCACTGAGGTGCAAACTCGTCATGCTACTACCAAGTGTGTCCAGTACCTCCACTGCTTTGCCAAGCCCAAGACTACCTGCCTTGCCCAAAACTGAGCTCACTTCTGAAACCTGAAACACAATAACCTGTAAATAATAAACCTAGTGTACAAGTAAGAAGACTACAATTAACGAGTTCCAACACAAACATATGCAAGGTTGACTGTACAAATAGAGCATCGCAAAATATATAAAATGTTTGTAAATAACTTATTACAGAAACTAAGGGATCATTATGCTAGTTAAACTTTATTAAGACAGCATGTATAAGCAAAATAATAGAAGAAACAAATTAGAGGACATATTAACATAATGAAACACAGATGTCCAGTCTTCTTAAGCAGGAAGCTAGATTATCTTTCATTCTGTTGTTCATGTATGAAATGGCAGATAATGCTACATAAGAACTTGTCAACTTAAGGACGATTCAGAACTTGACCCATTGATCAAACTCAGCCGGATGTGCATTATTTGAATGAGACAAATGATTTTCGTCATGCTAGCTAGGATTCCAAGTCTGAAGTAACATAGTTGTATACATGTTGAATATATACCTTCTAAAGCAGAATTCTTGACCCAAAATAGCACACCTCACGGTACTTGTATGAAAAGCATATAATGATAAGCAGATGGATGAAAACTGGTCCACTGGACGTCCAATAATGATGATGTATTGATTTTACGTATTAATTATATACTAAAAACATAAATTGGCAATTATGAACTGTAACAGAAATATGAATAGGTAATTATACTGCTCAAATAATGCACTGAGTTTGAACAGACCAGCATGCATAGCATTCTTCCTGATCAGTCCGGCAAGTTGGTTATGGCATTCTTGTATATGATTTGTATGACAAGTTTGTGTTATTCAAGGAACGAACCTCTTGCCATGTTATAAGACAATACCTTCAAGGCTCAACATGCTTGTTCCTCAGGGACAGGGACGAAGGTAGACCATATGCAAATAGCATCTGTGAAAAATCTAAGTGCATACTGACTCTAAGATTAAAGTCAAATTATTTAGCATGGAAGTGAGAATCTAGAGTGCCTAAAAAGATAAATACAGTGTTTATCTTAAAGGCCCTTGTGATCTTTTCATCAACAATTTTCCATGAGTGATGATGAATGAAATCTTAGGAGGTATCAACCATCTGGAAAAAAAAATGAAAACATTTAACAAAATATGATTTCGACAAATATCTTAAGTAACATCACAATGAAGCTAATGACAGCCAGTCTCCCAAACATGCATCCAATGAATTCACTCTTTTTGCCCACTTGCATTTTAAGAAAGCATAAGAAGTGGCATTTCTGTGATGTATATGTCCAATTTTTTTATTATGTGAGGTCTATAAGATAACATATCCAAATCCCTATGAACTAGTATGGCCAGTATCATGCACTGTTTGCATCCTCGCCAAGATCATGAAATCCAAGTATGCACCATCTTAAACTATTTCATCTTTCTTATGACCAATATCTTGAAACATAACAGTGGTAAAAAATCAACCAACCTTGCCATCCCATTACGAGCAAGAGAACTATCAGGACATGAACTTGCCTTGGTAGCCCCGGCCTTTCCAGAGGTGGAAGGCTTTGACTTGGTTGACCTGGACTTCTGTGAGAGAGACCTCAAGAACTGCGGCTCGGTGGCCTCTGCGGAAGTGGCTGGAATGTTTCCACCAGGCGTTCTCACCCCCTCCGAGGAGGAAAAAGGCTGTTGTTGCAGCCGCTTTTCCTTAGCTTCTGTTGCCATGGAACGGACCGAATCCCCTTGCTTCTTACTACGGGATTGAGTTGGTAGTGGGTTATCTCTGAGTCCATTGGAATCGAAGGTAGTCTCACTGGGCGACTTATCCACAGCGGATCTTTTCGAGCAAAGCCCGCCCATCGTCTTGAGCGTTTAGCAAATCTCAATTCTTCTTTTCCCTCCGTATACACGAATTCTCAACAAAAATTGTCACAAAAGCCACGATCCTTCAAAGAAAACGATCCCGTGGAGCCTCAAATCCCTGACGCCATGAGCAGTTCCGACGTAGATAGCAGCTGCAGCTCCACCAGTTGAACCCAGCCATTTACACACCTGAAACAAAAGTGATAACATCTGGATTCAGAATCCAAGCCCGAAATTCCAAATCGAAACCAAAACCGGTGCAGCGGACGACAGAACGATCAACAAAGCCAGAAAGATGGGATTTTTTCTCCAAGCATCCAAATGTAGAGAGGCATGAAAAGCAACAAGGGGAACAAAAAGGCCGCACTTTTACGGACCGATCGGAGGCGGAAAAAGAGCAGGAAAAATGGCGAAAACGAGCTGGATGATTGATTGATTGATAGATCCACCGGTCAATCAAGATCCAATCTTTGTGCTTCCCACGGCATCCGAAGGCAGTAAAGGGACCCCGAGAGAGAGACAGAGGCTCCTGCGATGCTTCGCCGCGGCAGCACTGAAGAGACAGAGAGAGAGAGAGAGAGAGAGAGGACGA